CGTACATTTAACTAAACTAAACAGAGGTTTAGTATAAGCTGTAGACCCCGCTCTAAAACGGCGCTGATGGTTTCACTCAGGTGGTTAACTGACTCTTTTCATAGCTTCATTCTCTGGTTTTTCCTGATGGTTTCATCCATCACGCCTCATTTGCCCTTTCCCATGTATGAGTGATTGTTTGTTAGACTAGTTTGTGTTAGTGTTTAGTTAATAAAACTCTTGTGCACAAATGACATGAGTTTCTGATTCTGCCTTGCAAATTAATTGCCCCTTTACGATTTTGATCCTTACTACATGCTCTAATGCATTAATACTGTATGAAAGTATTTTCTGTGGCCACGGAAATATCCTTTACTAGAGTTGATATGAACTTACACTGAATGTTCGCTGGACGAACAGATTGGTTAATGGCAATTTAATTCTGCTACAGTTACTACTGGCAGCTGATATAAATAATTGTAATTAATCATAATTAACTGCATTTATATACATTTCCTTTTGAGCTAATTTGCTACAGCTGTCAAAAAAACAATATCGGTCGACCACTAGTCTAAGTTAAAGCACTAAAATAACTCAAACTAAAAAAAATAAAATGTCTAAAACATTAAAATTGAAAGGAAAACAGAAAATATAAAATTAAAATCTAATTCAAAATAATAACAAACTATAATAGTATATTAATGATAATAAAATAACACTTACTTATTGTAGTCACTAAGCAGGTTTACTCACTGTACAGCTGTTTTCTCCTTTCGCCCTGCAGGACAGGAGGCCCAACAACATCTGCTTCCTTTCTCCAGCTGGCTGAGTCGTAATGAAGGTCTGGAAGAGAGAGGTTTTCCTCGAGTGCTCGGTGTGCTGGGTGACACACGCATCCCCATCCGCCTGCCTGCTGGCAAACCGGACAGCGATAGTGACACTCCAGAAGCCAATAGACCAAAGAACGAACCACATCCAGATTCATGGCTGAACTTGGAATTGGTCTGCAATGACAAGGGTCGCTTCATTTACTGCCACATCAGCAAAGGATTGGAAAAAGACAGAGGAAGTGCGTTAGCTGAAAGGATTCGGCAAAACCCTGAGATGGTGCCTCCAGGAACCTGCCTGATAGCCGGAGTCGGATACTCGCTCACAGAACAAATACTTACTCCATTTTCACCAGGTCGAAACCTGCAGGAAAACCTCTACAACAGATCGGTGGGGAACCATTTAGGCCGATTCAACCAGGCTGTGGCAGACTTAAAAGAGCGATTCCAGAAATTGAGATATTTGGATATGGGAAACTACGACAGGGCCAAAGCGGTGGTTCTGACTGCTTGTATATTACACAATGTTTTTCTGGACATGGGTGACGTGACAAAGGGACTTGTAGAGAGAAGCACACCAGAAGACATGGAGGAGGTAAACAAAGATGCTGCTGGGGTGAAAATGAGGGAGACTGTAGTGAATCTGCTTTACAGCACATTGGAAGCAGCACCACAATAAGTTTTTGAACTAAGTATCAACGTTTTGGTGGAATGGACCAAGGTTTCATTAAAAATACCTTAATTTGTGTTTTCAGGAAGAACGAAAGTCTTATGGATTTGGAATGACATTTAAATGATAAAATGATTGTCAATTTTGGGTGAACTATCACTTTAAAGCTGTATGAATCTGTGTGTAATTAATGGATATTTGAGATGGAGAAGTTTTGCAGCAAAAATTGTCATATTTTTATTTAAACATAAAAATATAATGTACAATTTGTCCTTTACTCATTTTACATGAACACAACAATTTAAACTAGTTTTTAACTTTTATATATATATTTTTTACATTGTTTATTTTGGTACTGCTACTTCAACTAAACGAAAGTGAAAATGTATGTTTGAGAAGTATTTTTTTGTATTTTATTTCAGTTAATATCAATTTTATTTCAAGTATTGATTTATTATGGTTTTAGTTTAAGTTAATGATAATAACACTGGTCCATTCATATCAAAACAAAACAGTCACAAACTTTGGAATGATATGGAAATGATGACGGGATTGTCATCTTTGGGTGAACTATCCCTTTAAAGCTGTGTGTAATTAATGAAAATTTGGTGGTATGAAGGAAGCTTTAGCAGAAAAACAAATTGTGACAAACATTTTCTGTTTTTTTTTAATTAAAACACAAAAATACTATGTACAACTTGTCCTTTTCTCATTTTACATGAATGTGACCATTTAAACTGCTCATTTATATTTGTGCAATTCATAATGAAGGAAAGGAAAACCAAGCATATTTCAAGTCGCTGTTCAATTCAAGTCTTTTTAATTCTCTGAAAAGGGTTCAACATATCAGGCATTTCTCTAAAAATAAAAATCTATTTCTCATCTGAAAAGACAATGATAAATACACAACTAATTCCTATTGTTGGGAAATAGGGGTGTCCGACGTTTCACACTCTTTGGGCATTTGCATTGTATTGTCCTGGGACAGGCAAGTAATGGCACGTGCCAAATTATTGATGGCCTCGATCTTCCTCTCTTCCAGCGCTTTCTGCTGAGCCCACATGTTCAGTTTCCTCTCCTGCAGCTCCAGGTACAACTGCAGCAAATCCTGAGGAGGCCTGGCGTTGGGTAACTGTGGAGCTGTAGCGGTGGGTGTGGGACGTATCGGGGTAAATCGTTTGCTGGCTATGGCCTTGCCCAGCTTGGTGCCGTTAAGCTTTGTCTTGCGCTGAGCCTCAACCTCCTCGTAGCTCCTTCCCAGCACTTCATGCATCTCCTTGAAGAACTCCCAGTGAACACTATTGGTTCCCAATCTTTTGGATCGCTCAGCATTTTTGCGATACGTTGCTAACATGTTTCTCCACTTCAGGTCACATTCGAAGGCTTTGACTGAAACGTCTGTGCCTTCCTCGGCTCTTAGCTTTGCAGTCACTCTCTCAGCCACAGTCTCCCACAGCTTCTTTTTTTTGCACACGGGCTGGTCGAACTCTGGGTCCATGTCCAAACGAACATGGACGAGATGCCATGTAGCTTGTAGTGTCCACACAAACTCTGAATGAAAGAGATTGAGTAGATCGTTAGTTATTCCAGAACAAGAATGTAAACACACATTTAGGAGGAAATGTAATATTTAAAGACTGAATCGTGTAAAAGTTGAGAACATATCACAATTCAATTTATATGTGTGTGTGTGTATAATTATCACTTTATATTGAACATTTAATTTAGGCTAACAAATAAAATGGATAAATTAAATGAATTAAAGTCTAAATTAAATATGTTAATAATATAAAGTGATCGTGTCTCTTCAGAAGACTTTTACTGGATTAAACTGTTCAATTTATATGAATTCCTTATGTCTTTATGAACTTTTTGAAGCATTAGGCTGTAAGGACAATAGAGGGACTGCAATCTCTCAGGTTATATTAAAAATAATAACTAAAAAAACTTGTTCTATTGCACAAAAATATATACTGTATCCAAAATATTAGAAAATATTACACGTAATTAAAATATTCTAGAAAACTGTTAGGAATGCACACTAATTAAAACATACCGTAAGAAATCTTTTGTTTCAAGAGGTCTGAAGCTTTTCTAAGTTACCTAAAACTGTTGGGAAGGCCAATCTGAACCATCAGGCTCACCGTGTCCTCCTCGCTGGCGATGCCTAGCGCACACACTGCTGCACTCACTTACTCGCATCTTACCTGCTTTGGACTTTTCGGTCTCCAAAGTCGTAACCGTAGTTGTTGAGTCTTCCACCTCAATGGCGTCTGTGACAATTGCCTCAATGACCTCCATGTTGCATTTATTTTATATTAATCTCGTCAAGCGTTATTGCGACTAATCGTGGATTTTAACAACTCCAGCGCTGAGTTATTTTCGAGCTACAGCGCTGATAATAACAACGACCTCGTTCGCACCAGACAGCGCCGAACAGGGTGTTGTTGTCTTTTTTCCGGAAATGAACATGCGTGTGACGGGGGATTGTGGGAAATGCTTGCCATTGTTTTTACAAGCGTTTCGCGCGCAAGGTAGGAAGTCAAAACGCACAGCCTGTTTTCTTCTTTATGGCAAAATAAATGTCTGCATAAATGAATTCATGCCGTTTTTATTGTTACGTTATCTGATGTGTTAAATAAAGTCAATAATTGAGCTATCCTGAAACTACAACTCCCATAGGCTTTCAAGAGACCGAGTCTACAAGTACCCCTCCCTTTCTGGAAAAAAACTCTCCTGTTTGTTGCTCTACTAAAGATGGCGCCAGTGCAAATCTGAAGCGATTGCGCTTTGTAGCGCGTAGGAAATTTGACGTGAGTAAGATGAAAAGTTAACGCAGCCTTCTCACTCTTCATCGAAACATCAAAATACACCCAAATAGATTAATCTTAGGCTGCACTGTCAAGGAATTAATTTTTTGTGGCCTAGCTTCCACTGTAGGCCGTAATGAAATATAGCGCATTGGGTAAAAGACTTCATTTCCCAGAAGTCATTGCTCTGGGCTTGCTTTAATGGATGAACATGGTAGTTGTAGTTTTTCGAATGCTTGTTTCTCTGTGGATGGAATGTGTCAATCATAGGAGAATTTTGTATTAGTTCCTGTGTTCTTTTATTTATTTATTTTTCTTTTTGTAGTTCTACATATAAGAGTTTGGTGTTGTTGCAAAGTTATTTAAAGCCACTGAAATATTGTTGTACCTTACAATATTAAGAAGATAAAATAATTAAGTTACAAAACGGGGTGGCGGTGGGGAGGTGCTTCTGGGCTCCTGGTTCATCATGTCTACACCTCCAGAACAAGGAATTAAACGACATCCAAAAAGTTCGAACAGCACCTCAGAGGCATCCGCCACTCTCACAGAATCCTCTCTGACCTGGTGTTTGGCTCAGCTGTCCAAAACACACATGTTAGCAGACAGTCACAGCAGTGGACTGACAGGAGCAGACAATAAGCCCATCACTGAAGGTGACAAAGCCAGGGATGCAGACAAGAGACTCAAAGCTGGTCAGTGGAGGGCACTGGTGGCCATTCGGATGCAGCATATCAAAGGAGGTGGCAGCAGGATAGCCCGCTACCAATCACGAGGAGGACTCCCTCCTTTGCTGGATCTCCTCAGGCGACCAGAAAGCTCCAGAAAGTTTCTGGACCTGGCACTTAGCATCCTGGCGAACTGCTGCACTGAAAAACAGACAAGACTAGAAGTAAGAAAGATGCTGCTTTAATGTGTAGCTTGAATTGATTATATATATATGTGGCTTTCATTGTTTGGTTTGTATATGATCAAAACATTTTTTTCTTCTTCTCGTAGGTAAGAAAGCTTGATGGCGTATCTGTTGTTGGTAAGTCACTCAAAGGCTTCAAAAAGATCAGTTACTTCTTATGCCCTGTACATTCTGACATCTGACATGGTTTTCCACACATATTTTTTATATTTTTATATGTGTGCATAAAAAAAAACATGCAGCACTGTGAAATCACTCATTTACATTAACTTCTTAAAGTCATGAAATCAGAATTGACAGTTCCTTTTTATTTTTGGAATATTGCAATGAGTATTATAAATGATTCATTAGTGCACATCATTATCACTAATCCATCATTAATCATAAATTCATGATTAAATTCATATCCTATCATATCAATCATAGCTTCCTCTCCCCCTTGCAATGACATTTCTTCCCTGCTGACCCCCACCAACCTGTCACTCACATGAGATCACTGCAAAAATAAATAAAGTTTTTTCATTAGCACATTTGGTTTCATGGAGGACCTTTAACATCCATGGAATCGTTTCATTGCACAAATGGTTCGTTATAGAGGAGAACGGTTCTTTAGACTGTTAAAATGTTCTTTACACTGAACAAAAATGGTTCTTTTGAGAACTTTTTACTGAAGTTTTTTTGGGGGTAACCAAAATGTTTTTTCTATGGCATCACTACAAAAAAATGCTGCTCCTTTGCATAAATAGTTATGATCAAATGGTTACAATCTTTCATTTTTGTAGTGGATGTCCTCAAGAGGAATGTCTCTGTGGACACAGTGCAAAATCTAGCAGCACGAGCTCTGGGAAATCTTGCGATGGACCCGGAGGGTTCTGCTGAGGTCCACTCTGCAGGTTAGTCCCAGAATTTCATATGCTTAAAGTAATATAATAATAATTATTATGTTTCTCCTCCATTATATACAATTAGAGATGGTAAAACACTCAAAACCATAAAATCAGTATGTTTCTGTCTCTCTCACTCAGGTGGAGTTCAACTTCTCCTGCTCTGCCTGTCTCTCTCTCCACATCCATCGTCTCCCTCCTCATTGACTCCAGCCCCTGAATTCTGTGCTCCTAAACTGGAATGTGTCCAATCTGCTGCCCGGGCACTTGTCTACCTTTCTGACACACCTGCCAACCGACTTCTGCTGCTTTCACAAGGCGCTCTTCCATCTCTCGCTTTGTTCATTGCTCCAGAGTACCCTTTAGGTCTGCGACGGGCATCACTTCGTGCCATTCATGAGCTCACCAGAGGCTGCAGTGCAGAGTGCGCCAGGGAGATGTCCAGGTCCGGGGCGTTGACTCAGCTCGGGCTCCTCGCCTCAGCAGAAGGTGGTCGACCTTTGGAAGAACTAGCTTTGAAGACTCTGGCTAACTTGTGCTCTCAAGGCTGCCTGAGGCCACTGGTCGGTTCGTTGGGTGTCATTCAGAATTTCGCAGAGGAAGTGAAGAAGGATCCTCTGAAGTCAGGTGTGTTCTTCAAGGCCCTGTGCCTGTGCTGCAGAGAGGCTGTGAACAGGGCTAAAGTAAAGGAGAGCGGGGGACTGGAGGTGCTGATCAGCTTTTTATCCGCCCATCAAAACCATCCACTCACGCGCTTCGCCTTTCTAGCTTGTGTGGACTTTGTCTACGATGAATCTGCTCTTGAACAGCTGCAGGAGCTTGGGTTGGTGCCGCTGCTAATCATGCGGTTGGTTGAGCTTGCTCACGGAGAAGAACCGACCGCAGGAAAGATGGATGCCAGCCTGTCCTCTAGTTCTCCATGCTCTGAACTGATGACCTCGTGTTTTGACTCGTTTGACTTCTCAGCCCTTGAAGGGAACAAGAGGGAGGATGTGAGCAAAGACCAGACATCGGGATCTTCCAGCTTCCTCAGTCTCAGGTCATTCATAGTTTTACCAAAAGCAGAACATACAAAATCATGTATATGAAAATGAACATCACAACCATATTTTCACAATTGGCAGACTAACAGCACTGATCAGTAATCTGATATGTAGCATTAAATTGTACACCTATTTTCTGTATAATTTTTGTTTTGCTTTGAATTTTCAAACAAAAAGTCAATTTTTTTCATGTCACATCAAGTTTAGCCAATTTTACTATCTAGTTTTAGTCAATAAAATGTTAAATTAAATGATTAGAAAATTTAACCAAATATTAAAAAATGTTTGACAATTTATCAATAAGTTTTAAAACTGTCCTTGTCGTGAAAATCGGACATTAATTTTTATATTATAGCATGTCTTCTTTTAAAAACATTGCTGGTACATTAATATATTGCTGTTATTCTTTTCTTGACACACTTTCATAAACAAAATGTTTTAATTTAAAAACATTTAGTCATCATCATGATGTGCATTTAGTTTTTTTCAAAATTAAAAACCCTTCAGTAATGACCTTATTTTGTCAGTAACTTTGTTGACTAAATGACCAAAATCAGAGAGTACATTTTGGAAGTATGAACATGCCAATCATATAACTTCAGTGTAATCCTTCACATTGATCTTTGTGTTTTATGGAGAAATTGCTTGTATGTTGCTCAGTTTTGTCTGTGTTCCATCCTCCAGGTCTTGGCTGGTATCTGAGGGTCTGATCTCATCTGAGGGTGAGCTGACTGAATCCCCATGTGGAAGTGATGTCTTTGGGGGCAGCCCTCAATCCTCCATCTCACCGTCACCACCTTGCTCTGAGTTCTTGCAAATGTCGACCTTGCGATCGCCCCACTTTTCTCCCTCCACCCGTTCCAAACCCATCAGGCTCTACTCTTCCTCCTCCTCCACTTCAGTATCTCCTCGAAACTTACCATGTTCGCCTTCCTCTTCACAGCCCTCCTGTACCTCCACCCCTCAATCTGAGCAACCGTCCTCATCTCCCCTCCAAATCTCCTCTCCTCCCAGAAAGAGGCTCCGTGCCTCTTCATCCTCCTCTCGCTATAGTGTGGTCACCCTGGACAGCCCCCCTGTGATGTCAAAAACCCCAGTCTACCATCATCCTTATCACCCTGAGGCCTGGGCCCCAGAATCCCCCATTCTTCTGCTCTTGTCGCGCTTCTCCCATGCCTCAGACCCTAGCACAGCACTCATCAACACGAATGTTTTCTCCGGGCTGTTGTACTACCTCACCCAGCATCATGACCCCAGTGGGCGATGCTTTCGGATGCTTGGGCGCCTCAGCTGCAACCCAAACTGCTTCCAGGCTTTGGTCAGAACTGGAGCCGTGGCTCTGATCAGACAGAGACTGTGTATGAGAAGAGAGGAGATCGGGGGACGCAACGGAGGAACGGACAGACAATCAGGCAAAATCACACAACTAGGTTTGTGACTTTATTAATATATGATGTTGATGCGTATTATATTTAAGGCTGCTGTTTATTCGAAGCTAAAATGTTTCTGGCTCCTCAGGTTTGGCCCTGCTCAGTAATCTGAGGGTTCAGAGCGAGTCTGGATTTGGCACTGGAGTTCTTACACATATCATGCTGTCAGGCTCTGAATCTGACAAGCTGTACTGTGTCCTCTCTCTGCCTCTGATTAACAGGTATGATTAATTGACGTTCAGGGTTTATTTTTAATCCGTTTATAGACGAAGGAGTGGCTTCAGAACAACTCTGTGACTGTTCTTGAATGGCCCAGCCGGAGCCCTGACTTAAACCCAATTGAGCCTCTCTGGAGAGACCTAAAAATGGCTGTCCACTAACGTTTACCATCCAACCT